ATAAATTTGAATTCTTTAAACTCTCCCTGTCCTTGTGTAAATTCTGTTTCAAGATTTTGTTTAATGATTTCAATTTGTGTTATAAGGACATTAATGTTACTTCATTTTTCTCAGTAGAAACATAGAAATTGTGAATTTTGATGTGGATCAATTTATGAAATACATGGAATCAGTAACAAGGTACCGTGGTTCAGAACATACTTGTAGTGATGCTGATGTTGAAAAAGAGCCATTATCAGACATGGATTTTGGTAATTTCCAAGTTACTGCTTATATATTAGCCAACTAATTTGATTTGAGGTAGATACAAGTTATTTTGTTAATTTAGTGATTGTGTAATTACTTCTTGTTGCCTCTATTAGTTGACAATAAATTTTGACTTTTTTTTTTTTTTTTGACGTCTTTTACTTTTATTTCACTTTTGTTTTGTAAGAATGTACTACCCCATTATATATTTGTAATTGTTTTCCCTTCCTGTCCTCGTCCTATGCATTTTAATCCATTTTATGCACATGCTTAACTTTTGAAATATTTAATAGCTCTACCTTTTTTTCCACAACTGAACTATAACACAATCCAGTGCATAACACAAAAATCCACGCAAATGACACTTGTGACAAAAAGGGAGGGAAGATATTTATGCAATCTTATGTAGTTGCAGTTGTGGAATTTACTAATCACTTTTTTTTATTGCAAATCTTGCTCTCGATTTCCCTGCCTTTTCGTAGCCATTTAAAGAATGCCTTTAATCTCAATGGTTACTGGTTGTTGCCTCCATAGAAAGATGAAGGTCATTTTCTTTATTTAAATAATGCCTTTAGTATGGATGTCTTTTACTTGAAACTCATGTATAATTTCCATGTTTGAAATTTAATGTCAGCATCCCTCGAGCAAGTGTATAAGGACCGACTAAAAGAAGGACAATGAAGCATTTTATTTGGACAAAAGAATAGGGAAAAAAGGATATGATTGCATGTTTGTGCATTTAGGTAATTTCCTTAGTTGAAATTCAGCGAATTTGTGCTTGCGATTTTAAAACTCATCTTTATCTTATGAGAAGATTACATGTGATGTGTTAAATGACTCAAGATTCTAAACTTTTGTATTGTTGGTTTATTTCTTTGTGAAGATTAAGTGTTAGGAGTTGAATAAGTATTTAATGCTTTCAAGATTCTATTTCGCGAAGATCATCATTATGTTCTTGCTCTTCTTTGTCAGGTATGTTGAATTTACTCTCTTTTTTTGAAAAAAAAAATGTGATCTCATTATTAATTCAATTAAATTTCTACTATTGTTTATTTTTACTTTGTGCTTATTTGAAAATATGGCAACTGTTATCTTGTCGATAGAGTGCCTAGGTTTTCAGATGTGGTGAAAAAAAATAATTCATTTCATATTACCTGCTTGCATGTGACGTTGTCATCTTGGGTGCTTTTATTTGTTTGGAACTTTCAACACATGCTTAATATTATGAGGATTGAAAATAACAATCTAGAATTGTATATTTCTGTCTGCAGGCTTTCTGATTATGTATTATATAAGTAAATATAAATCATCAGGATGTACTCTATTTACTGTTTAAAAAGGGCGGTATGGTCTGTCTACAGTCTGGAGTCAATCTGTTCAACACACAACTCACCACTCCCCTGACCATCCATCTACCTACTTTGTCACCTTTTCTCTGCACATATATGCTATCCTATATCAATATATGTACACATATATTACTAGAGAAGCCAGCAAAAGGTTTAACTAAATATAGAAAAAAGGTAGACACTGTTTCTCTTACTTCACAGCTGATCCTTATTTAGTAAAGAAGAACATGAAGATACTCATAATCATCGTGTTCTTCCTTGAAAAAAAAAGTCATTTTCATTACTATGTTCTACTTTTACATTTTTAATGTTTGATATGATGATGATGTTTCTTTCTCATTCTCATGTATTTGTCCTTTCATAAAAATGGCACCCGAACTGAAATTAATTCCAGATATTGCACTCAGAGAAATGGGATGGACATGTAAAGTGGTTGTTGTAGAAAAAACATCTTCAAGAACATCACAGAAGGGAAATTGAACTTATCAGCACCTTTGGTTGATGGATACTGAGGTAATATTCTTAGATCATGCTTCTTCAAGTCTATGTATTTGTTAATATTGCATATGTATTTGTACTATTTAATGCCCTATCATTTAATGTAGGAAAACAGAGTCCAAGCAACCATATTTGCTCAGAATATCAAAGCTCTTGAAAACACCTTAGTGTGATAAAAAACTTACTTGATTTCGAACGCATATGTCAAAAACACAGATGAACGCTTCAGATCAACTTGTGGATATACACAATGGACAATCAGTGGTTCAACTCAAATTGAAAAATCAAATGAAGACCACAGCCCTCTTGTAGAGTCATGCTTTCAGTTTACTCCATTCGATGAACTTCAAAACTACATAGATGCTGATGTCGGAATAGGTAATAATTACTTTGAGTTTGGTTATTTTTCAACATTTCCCTAAACATTATATTTTCAAAATACTGCTTTATGCCCAAAAAAAAAATTTCAAATTCCTTGTGCAGTATTCGTTGGCATTACTGTTGATGTTTGGCCAAAATGAAAGATTCCAAGCAACAAGAATGCGGATGCTACTGTCCAAGACATTATCCTTGTGAACGAAAGTTATGTATGAATAAATATAAATCTACACGCAGAAAACAATAGTTTATCTATTATGACAATCAATTTGAAATTTGACATCTCCGTGTGCAGATTGCAAGCAATTACTCTGACTATATAGGACAACTTTACAACCATGAAGGTATTGAAATCAGTGATTGCCTTATGAAAAAACTAGTGATCGTGTTAACTATTTAAAAGTCACATCATTCAAAGGTAAACAAAGTCTAAATTAATCATCGATTTCAAGAGTTTCTACTGTGAAGAATAACAAATTTCATTGCGTATATACTTGTGTCTATCTTAACAGGGATATCATTATCGACTAAACCAAACAGTTCGATCCTCATTAATCCTAAGTTTGAAAAACTTGCTGAACTTAGAGAATGGTCAGTTCACTCTTTGTCCATTTTGCATGCATTTTCCATGTGATGTGTTTCACTTAAAAACTAGCTCATCCTCGAATTATTTTGCATTTTTCCTTTGGATTATATCTTTTAACTTCATTTCCGTACTGTACAAGGATTCAAAGAAACAAAGACATACTGACAGAAATCATCACTCAAAAGACTTACGATTTTCCAAACACGTACACTATTTTACCTCCTCCGAAAAACAAAACCATCAACATCAAAAACATTTCGGATTATTCATTGACGGTACATTTTAACTACTATGTTACAAGTAAAAGTAAAACCATGACTTATTTTCTTTAAAATTTCTTCCATTATCTACCACATAACAAATCGTTATTGCAGCGCAAACCTTTCTGGATAAAAGGTCAATTAGAATTGAAGGCAGGAGCTCAATAACTTTGGTATATGGCTTGTGACACATGTAGTTGGATGTCATTTGCTCAGTTGAATGAAATGTATTTTTGAAATTATTGCAAATACATGCATGCAAGAGCTGTTCCAAGGTAATAACTAATGGTGAGATTAAACTGTCTATAACACATTTTTTTTAGAGCGCGCTGCAATATTCATGTTGCAGATAATACCGGTCTATTTCTACATCATTATTTGGTGAATTGGCTGAAAAATTCCTACAACTGCCAGCTGAAACTTTGATGAAGGATTGTGTAACGGTAAAGTATTCCTTATGATTACATTTGTTAATATTTCATAGTTAAATATATTGATATACTTAAATATATATTGATAGTACCTTCATTAATTTAAATACAGTCAGAGGATGTCATCAATGCTCATGATTTGAATTGTATAAGTGAGGACCGTTTCATTTTTTATGAAGTATGGAACTTTGGACCCCAAAACGAACCAACCAAGATTCGATGTCGTATATATTCTCGATAGCAATTGTGGACCTACAAAGGGATCTCCGCTGATGTCTCACTGAACCAAAGACTAAGAATGTCTCACTTCACACCAATGCACCTAATGCTTGAAGAAATTTGGTGTTTGAAGAAGAAAGCGTTTAGCAACTAAAGAAATGGAAGATGATAGCATCAACTGTTGAAGAAATTATTGGAGATCCCCCTAGCGTCAATGTGGATCCAACCGTAGAGTAAATGTTGTTGACTTCCACCAGTTCAAATTAGAAATCAAGTTGCTTCTGATGGTTTTGATTTTTTGTTTAATACAGAAATTATTTGTGAATTAGAATAGTAGCAGACTTTTTGAAGAAGAGAATATTTCTTCTTGGAACTTATCTGTAACGACCCGGGTCCCACTTAACGGGTTGTCCTGGCCGTTAGATCGACGACGTACTGTCCTCACTGTACCAACATGGGTCTTTTCAGTATACTTTGTCCTCACTCGCACGCTCCCCGAGAAAACTTCCCAGGGGGGTCACCCATCATAGAATTGCTCCAAGTCAAGCACGCTTAACTATGGAGTTTTCAACGATGAACTTCCGGAAAAGAAGGNCTCGCACGCTCCCCGAGAAAACTCCCAGGGGGGTCACCCATCATAAAATTGCTCCAAGCCAAGTTCGCTTAACTGTGGAGTTTCCAACGATGGACTTTCGGAAAAGAAGGTGCACCTTGTGACATGAGTAATACCTATCAAATCTCTTAAACTTTCTTGGTCTAGGGTATTACATTATCTATAGGACTTTTCATGTATGGAACCATGAAAAAGTATTGGTTCATGGATTTCAGCTCTGTTTTTGAAGCTAGATTTCTATCATGAACTAGGATGAATGTTTGCATATTTTGTAAATAAAGTGAAGTAATGAATGATTGAATTATCTTTATTTTGTATTGAATAAAAGTTAATTATTAAAACATACATAATTAATCAAAAGTGTGTTCTGCTTGCTAATTTTTTAGTTCAAGGGAGAATTATGGCCATTCTGAATTTCAGATGGAGAGACATCCTTTGCCACAAGCATATTTTGGGCCTGTTGGTCCAGCTGACTGGAATGAAGCTCTCGATATTATATCACATGGTTCTCCTGAGCAGGGTTGCTTTTAAAACCTCAATTTTTGAACTTTCAGATTTGCAAAGAAACGAAAAAAAAATGCTTTATTGGGTTTTTATCATTATAAACATTGTTAGCTGCAGACATAAATGGGGTTGTTGAAATTTTAATCTTTCTAGTGCAGACATTTCAGAAAAATAGAATCGCTTATGCTGTCAAAGAGAGTACACTTGATGGTCTAATTACAGAGCTATTGCTTTGGCTTTTGGATGAAAGGGTTCCTCGGATGGATGACGGCAGTCAAATTTTCAGAGCTCTAAATGTTTTAATGCTTAAAATTCTGGTACATTTGTTTTCTGATTCATCTCAGTGTTTTTGTGTGTGAATACTTGTGCTTACTTTTGGAGATACTAATGTTTTTCCCCTTCGCTTGACTGGTGATTCTGAATTCAGGATAATGCTACCAGACTTCATCATTTGTTGTGTTCATAAATCTTTTACGTCCTACTGGCCCATCAAGGTGGCCATTTCCACTAGCGAATGAGTCTCTAACCTTGAGAAATCAGAAATTTTTGAATTTGGTCGTCAAATGCTTGATCAAACTTACTGAGGTAGTCCCTTTTCTTCCCCTTTCTCGTGAAACTTGGTGTCTTCTGCCTTCTCTCACACATTTCTAATCTTACAGAAACATGTTGCGTCTTTCATTTGAAGTAATATTCTAAATGTACATTGATTGTTGATTAACGATAAGTATCTGACAGGTTCTCCAAAATACCATATATGATGTTCATCTTGATCGTATCCTTCAAAATATCCATATATACCTACAAGAATTAGGAATGAAAGAAATACGAACGAGGTACCTCTTAAACATTTAAAAATAAATGATAGGATTTTGTTCCTTGTTTAATGAGATACATGTTCAATGCGCTTCTGATTAATTTCACTGTGTGCTAATTAATTGTTTTAACTGCCCACTACCAACATCTTTTAAATTAACACAGAGCAGGAGCCAATGACAAACCACTTCGCATGGTGAAAACTGTTCTGCACGAGCTTGTTAAGCTTTGTGGAACTGCCATAAAGGGTCATCTTTCCGCGGTCCCAATAGACACGCAACCGAAGCCCATTATTCTTGCCTACATTGATCTTAATCTTCATGTACTTATTGCAAACTCTTGATAATGTACTGTTTCCACATGTAATTTTTTTTCTCATCGTGATCATCTTCAAACAAAATTGAGTAGACCTTGGCGGCTGCAAGAATGTTGACCCCCTTCTGGCACTGCTAGACAAACTCGTTGAGGTGATTTGGCGGCCAACAATCCAGCACCTGCAACACATTCTGCAGATGCTCAATTAAAGGTATGTATGCTGTCTTTAGCTCTTTTATTTGAATGTCAATTTGTCCTATGTAATGGAATTTCTTGTATCCATGCCGTATCCTTGGGGATGTACTTATTTATCATTGGAAGTTAAATGACCAATTGTTACATTAATTGAAAGATGAGGGACTCCTTTGCAATATTGAGTTAGTGCTCCACTTGGCAATTGAACCCATTTCTTTTCATTTTCATACATGCACACACGAAACGGGGCATTTGTCAAATTGACCTAGTTGACCAAGCCTTTTATAACCTTTTGTAAAATTGTCTGTTTTACCCTTAATGATATATGTTTTGTTTATTGCAAAGTATATCCTTTCCCTAAATGGTTTTGACAATTGATATATTATATTTCTATATTTTCAACTCTATCCATCA